GAATCATATGCTATACTCTTCTTTTTCTTGTTGGCTTCTTTCACGCAGCATAATTATTTTGAAATTCGTCCATGTTGCTGCATTTACTGACAAGCCATTTCTTTTTATGGCTGTTAACTCTTTTTCCATTTAAGTCACTCCACCTTAACCTAACTATAGTATAGAGCTGCCAGGATCAAGAGAATTTCAGAATAAGCAAGAGCCTTAACTACTTACATCTTCTTTTTCTTCAGCATCCACCAGGGCAGTGTATCGATCCTCTGGCATAGGAACCTTCAGGGCATTAAACTACAAACACAAGGACAGTGAGTCATCGCCAACACACCCAGGAGCCCAAAGGGCTGGAAGCTACTAATCCTTATAGACCATATTGAATGACATACTGTGTCCCAATCAGATACCAGCATGCAACTGAAGTATTGTAGTGGAAAGAATATTAGACTGGGAACAGGAACTCAAGGGTCTCCTCAGCCCTATCACAAACTAGGAACCCTAGACAATTCTTTATTACAATGAGCTTCATTCTCTTCATCTGAAAAGGACAGCTGGAATTGATGACCAAAATAAATGACCTCTTAGCACCTTGAATTGTAAAAAAAAATTCTGATTTCTCTTCTGCATGAAATCCTAGAGGGCTCACTGGTGGAAGCAGCGCTGCATAATGGCTGGTCTCCTTAGAAGACTGCCTAGTGTTATGGCTCCAGCACTTAATCCTGCCTGGCACAGAGCAGGCCCTCCATAAGCATCTTTGAATGAATAAGCAAATGAACTCTGGATATTGAGACTTGTGTAAATATCAGAGGAGGATAGGTGGATTAGAAATTACAGCTATAAGGGACAGTTAAAAAGAGAGCAGAGGCTGGGCGTGGTGGCTCACACCTGTACTACCAGCACTTTGGGAGGCCAAGGAGGGTGGTGGTCACCTGAGCTCAGGAATTCAAGACCAGCCTGAGCAACATGGCGAAACCCCGTCTCCACCAAAAATACAAAAAATTAGCTGGGCATGGTGGCGCTGTGGTCCTAGTTACTTGGGAGGCTGAGGTGGGAGAATGCCTTCAGCCAGGGAGAAAGAGGTTGCCGTGAGCCAAGATGGCACCACTACCTCCAATCTGAATGACAGAATGAAACTCTAACTCAAAAAAAAAAAAAAAAAAAAAAAAAAAAGAGTAGAGAGGTGGATCACCCGAGCCCAGGAGTTTCAGACCAGCCTGCCTGGGCACCATGGCAAAACCCTGTCTCTACCAAAAAAGAAAAAACTACGAAAATTGGCCAGGTGTGGTGGTGGCACGCACCTGTAGTCCCAGCTACTAAGGAGGCTAAGGTAAAAGGATGGCTTGAGCTTGGGAGGCAGAGGCTGCAGTGAGCCAAGACTGCGCCACTGCACTCTAGCCCAGGCAACAGAGCCAGACCCTGTCTCAAAAAAACAAACAGGAGGCTGGGCGCAGTGGCTCACATCTGTGATCCTAGCACTTTGGAAGGCTGAGGCAGGCAGATCACTTGAGGTTAGGAGTTTGAGACCAGCCTGGCCAACATGGTGAAACCCGGTCTCTACTAAAAATACCAAAAATTAGCTGGGTGTGGTGGTGTATACCTTTAGTTCCAGCTACTCAGAAGGCTGAGGCAGGAGAATCGCTTGAACTTGGGAGGCAGAGGTTGCAGTAAGCTGAGATCACGCCACGGCACTCCAGCCTGGGCAACAGAGCAAGACTCCATCTCCAAAAAAAAAAAAAGAAAAGAAAAGAAGCCGGGCGTGGTGGCTCAAGCCTGTAATCCCAGCACTTTGGGAGGCCGAGGCGGGTGGATCACGAGGTCAAAAGATCGAGACCATCCTGGTCAACATGGTGAAACCCCGTCTCTACTAAAAATACAAAACATTAGCTGGGCATGGTGGTGCGTGCCTGTAATCCCAGCTACTCAGGAGGCTGAGGCAGGAGAATTGCCTGAACCCAGGAGGCGGAGGTTGCGGTGAGCTGAGATCGCGCCATTGCACTCCAGCCTGGGTAACAAGAGCGAAACTCTGTCTCAAAAACAAAAAAAGAAAAGAAAAAGGACAGGAAAAGAGTGGAAGAAACATTAGTTTGTTCCAAAGGGAGACAGGTCGGAAGCTAAAAGGAACCCAAGAGGTGGGCAAACATTTAACTTGAAAGCCCTCTGGGGAGTGGTGGCGCATGCCCGTAGTCCCAGCTACTTGGAAGGCTGAGGCGAGAAGATCGCTTGAGCCCAGGAGTTCTAGGCTTAGTGCATTATGTCGTTCGAGTGTCTGCACTAAGTTCGGCATCAATATGGTGAGCTCTGGGGAGCGGGGGACCACCAGGTTGCCTAAGGAGGGTGTGAACCAGCCCAGGTCAGAAACAGAGCAGGTCAAAACTCCCGTTCTAATCAGAAAGCCCTCTGGCTCCCAGATTAAGGCTACACTGTACTGCTGAATGGACAGAGCCTAAATTCCTGTGCCTATTTACAGTTAAATCTACCACAAGGCCTTTGGCCATACCCATCTTTCCTAAATTTCCTTAAGGGTCTGACTGTCATGCTGCATATGTAATTATTCACGTTCCTGCTCCCCGCCCCACACAAGCATATTACAAGCTCAGTGCTTTAGAGGTCTGAAGTCTCACCTTCTTTTCAAAGTCATCCACCAAGCCTGCCTTGGCCACATTGGCCTTGTAGTAAGCCCAGTCAATAGATGGTGGATTCTCAGGTAAAGCAGCCAACCTGTTCACAGGGAAAAGCAAAGTTAGGATTGTTCATAAGCAGTAGAAAATTCACTATTTCCCATCCCTTCTTTCTATGGCCTGGAGAGTCATCACACTTTCCTCTCCTAGGATCATCAGGAAAATGCAAGGATTGGCCAAGCATGGTGGCTCACGCCTGTAATCCTGGCCCTTTGGGAGGCTGAGGCAAGCAGATCACCTGAGGTCGGGAGTTCGAGACCACCCTGACCAACATGAAGAAACCCACAAAAACCCCATCTCCACTAAAAATACAAAAAATTAGCTGGTCATGGTGGCCCATGCCTGTAACTCCAGCTACTCAGGAGGCTGAGGCAGGAGAATTGCTTGAACCTGGGAGGCAGAGGTTGTGGTGAGCTAAGATTACACCATTGCACTCCAGCCTGGGCAACAAGAGTGAAACTCTATCTCAAAAAAAGAAAAAAAAGCAAGAATTTCTTTATATGTTGTCAGAAGGGCATCAAGAATTCATTTGTAATTCCTTAATACTGTTTTCTTTTTTTTCGAGGCGGAGCCTTGCTCTGTCGCTGGAGTGCAGTGGCGCAATCTCGGCTCACTGCAACCTCTGCCTCCTGGGTTCAAGCAATTCTTCCACCTCAGCCTCCCGAGTAACTAGGACCACAGGCACATGCCACCACGCCCAGCTAACTTTTTTGTATTTTTAGTAGAGTCAGGGTTTCACCATGTTGGCCAGGATGGTCTCGATCTCTTGAACTTGTGATCTGCCTGCCTTGGCCTCCCAAAGTGCTGGGATTACAAGCATGAGCAACTGCACCCAGCCAATACTGTTTTCTTTCTAGATCCAGTGGCAAGTATGGGGTTCCCTCTCAGAAACATACTGACCTGGAGGTGAGGATCTCATTGCAGGATTTCAGGGAATTAGCAATGGCCTTTTGGTTTGGGGGTATGATCTCCCAAAAAGCTATCCAGTCAATGGTTTTTAGAGCAAGTTTTCGCCCAGCCATCTTGGGATCCTGAAAAATAAGTCAGATCAAAACAAGGCTTTTTTTATAAGGTGAATTTTCATTTGGAAAAAATAATAAGTAACAAAATAAGGGCTCTTAGAGAGAATCCTTTAAATCTTAGAAGCATCCAAGCCTTCCCAAGAATCACTTGAACCCGGGAGGCGGAGGTTGCAGTGAGCCTAGATCACACCACTGCACTCCAGCCTGGCAACAGAGTGAGACTCCGTCTCAAAAAATTAAACAAATAAATAAAAGCCCAGGTGAGGTGGCTCACGCCTGTAATCCTAGCACTTTGGGAGGCCCAGTCCGGTGGATCACCTGGGGTCAGGAGTTCGAGACCAGCCTGACCAATATGGAGAAACGCCATGTCTACTAAAAATACAAAATTAGCCGGGCGTGGTGGCGCGTGCCTGTAATCCCAGCTACTGGGGAGGTTGAGGCAGAAGAATCGCTTGAACCTGGGAGACGGAGGTTGTGGTGAGCGGAGATAGCGCCACTGCACTCCAGCCTAGGCAACATGAGCGAAACTCCGTCTGGAAGAAAAAAAAAAAATCTATTGCCCCAGCACCTAGAACAGGTCATGCGCATAGGAGACGCTCAATAAATCTTTCCTGAATGAGTAACTGAACCCTGCATTTGAGGAGCCCTGAAAGCTCTACCCGTTCGAATCCAGGAAGCCGCCAGAGGGAAGGGAAGTGCGCAGCCCCGCAGCCCGCTGAGCGTCCCTTGTCAAGTTAACACCTTCTGCGTAGCGGTTCCCCAGTCCCCCCACAAGACTATTGAAGTCTGCCGCACTGGGAGCGGACTGCACGAGACACGACTTATGGCAAAGCGGCGCCCGGGACACAGCCGGGCCCCGGTGACCCCGCTCCCGCGAGGGTTGAGAGAGGGATAGCGAGGACAGGTGCGGCAGCTACACAAAGGGCACTCTGCCAGCGGGGCAACCCGAGGGCCCGGCGTCCCTGACGAGGTATGTATGACAAGGGTCAGCGTGAGGTTTGGAGGGGGCAGAGCAAAGGAGAACTCCAGGGATGGGAGCCAACGCCCGGATCCCCACTCACCTTCACCGACCCTGGCTGCCTACCGTCCACAGCAGCAAGTAACGGAAGTGGGTCACCGGAAGGTCTTCCCTCAGCCAACCCCAAAGCCAAGGGGGTGGGCCTTGTTTCGCAGATCAGCCAATAGAAATGAGGGCTGGTTTCGGAAGTCTCGCCCCGGGGGCGGGCACAGCGCCTCCGCCGCGCGGGTCCCCGGACGCTGGTTGGGGGCGCTCCCGTCCCTCTCCCCCCGCCCCACCCCCGCCGATGGGCCGGCCCGGCTCTCCCTGCCGAGAAATGGGCCGGCCCGGCTGCGCGCGGGCAGCGGCGACGGCGGCGGTGGCGGCGGCGGCTCAAGATGGCGGAGCTGCAGCTGGACCCGGCGATGGCGGGGCTGGGAGGGGGCGGCGGGAGCGGGGTGGGCGACGGAGGCGGCCCAGTCCGCGGGCCTCCCAGCCCACGCCCGGCTGGCCCCACGCCTCGCGGGCACGGCCGCCCGGCCGCCGCCGTCGCGCAGCCACTGGAGCCCGGTCCCGGACCCCCCGAGCGGGCAGGGGGCGGCGGCGCGGCCCGCTGGGTCAGGCTGAACGTGGGAGGCACCTACTTCGTGACCACCAGACAGACCTTAGGCCGGGAGCCCAAGTCTTTCCTCTGCCGCCTCTGCTGCCAGGAGGACCCGGAGCTGGACTCAGACAAGGTGTGCCCCGCCCTCGGGCGCGCCCCCGAGCCTTCGAACCCCGTCATTCCTCCTAGATCCTTCCCCAGAGGCCTGAGACAGGGTCCTCACAGGCAGCCCCCTCAGGCCTGGATCCCCTCCTTCCCCTGCCTCCCACGCTACACGCAGGGGACTCAGAGGGACCTCCCTCTTCCCATTCTCTCCCGTGTTCAGGCACACTCCGGCTTTCTCCCTGACCCCGCCCTTCGTTCTCTGAGACTCCTTCCCACACTGCGCCCACCCTCACCCACGAGAACGCACTCCACACCTCTTCTCCATATTCTCTGCCCCTGACATCCCACTGAGATCTGCCTGAGTTTTCCCTGGCTCCTCTTCAGCCCCCCACTGCCGGTGCCAGATGCATCCAGAACTGGGTCAGGGTGAGCTCGGGCATCTTTGTAGCTTTCTCAGACTTCCTCTCGGACCCCTCTGCCAAGTTGGGCTTCGACAGCTGCAGGAAGTGCTTCTTGTGATATCACGCTGCTTTCCTATAGTGCTGGTCGCAGAACTTTTATCTGGTAACAGTCACTGGTTTAGGTCCATATTTAGATCAAATGCGTTTTTTGGAAAGAGGTTACCGTTTGCTGCTGCAAATCTAGGCTAACCGGCTAAGACAGAAGGAAAATGAAAATCTCAGAGTGGTGGTGGGCAAGATGCATGGCTGCTGACCAAAGGGCTGAGAGATGACAAGACACTTAAATCCTTTCCAGTTTGAACTGTGTCAATTTCTTTTTAACTTTACGTGTTCACCTTGAAGTTCTCATATAGCACTCAGCTGGTCACCCCTCGAAACCGAGCTGGGTTTGCATAAACATTCGTTGTTTTCGTTTGTTCCTCTCCCAGCTCTCCTCTAAGAAATCTCAGATTGATGGAAACCTATCCTGCCCTAACTTTAAAGAGATTTCAAAACCCTTGCTGATAAAGGAATTATTTTTATCTACCCTATATCCTCCTTGTGGTAATGGAAGCAGTTTGTTCTTGTTCTTTTACTGTAAAGATGAGTAGGATTACAGCTGCTCAGAGCCAAGTCCTGGCAGTACCAAGCTTCCTCTGGGCACAGAGCTGGGGTGTGTGAGATTACAGCTGGCAGTGCAAACTCCCACTGATGTTGGCCTTGAGCTCAGGAGCATTGCCAGCTACACAGAGGTTTTCTTAGAATTAGGAATGCAGTTCAGGGGCAGTGGAGAAGTCAGAATGTCCATCTCAAGAAAAGACTTCAATTACACAGCTATGACGTTTTCCCCCTTTCTTAATAACAGACACTCTACAGAACAATGTTTGTCATTGTAATTATTGTCCAGGCAAAGATTTTCGAATTCCAGCCAGTGAGTCAACAGCTAAATGAGTATGACTGTGTGTAACACCCTACCTAAGATAATGTTCATGTACAAGATATATAAAGCTGGCTTTCTTACCAATAGTTTGTGATAAGCAAATGTGTAGCAAAACTTGCTATCACTAAAATTTTTTTAGCTGATGGAATGAATTGTCGTCTTGGGACGCTGACAAAGGTGGTGAAACCCTGTCCTGCCTTTGTTTAAAATGCTCCTCAAAGCTCTGCAATGATACCCTTGTGTTTGGTTGGCAGGATGAGACGGGGGCATATCTGATTGACAGGGACCCCACCTACTTTGGTCCTATCCTAAACTACCTCCGCCATGGGAAACTCATCATTACTAAGGAGTTGGCAGAAGAAGGTAAGAGGACTGTTTGCACTGGGGGTTTTCAAAATTCAAGTTGAATCTTTAAAGTTGTTTTGCTGATTTAAATTTCGTTTGAGAGTTTCATCAAGCTCACATGCAGATATAGTTTTGGGTTTATGAAACTGCACAGGAAGCCTCCAGTTACCAGGCTTTTCTGAGGGAGTCCTGTTTAAGGAAGCCTCCTTAGGCTCTGTTCAGCTTCTTGGTGAGAAGGAGATAGGTAGCTCAGCTTTGGAGATAACTTCAGGAGTTCTTTCCAAATCTCTAGAATTGTCACGATCCTTTTTTTTTTTTTTACATGTATTTGTTTGCTGGCAGTGAGTGCCTGTAGTCTGAAGAACCAACACATCCCTGACATTCAGTTATTTATAGTTTCAATTTTGGTTTGAACTCGCAGTTGTACAAAAATAATAAAGGCTTGGCCTCATTTCTTTTAAGACTCTGGCCTCATGCTTCCCTGTAAATGTTTGCAGCTGACCTAATTCATTCTCTAGTTCATTGTCAGGTGTATCATCAGTGGCCTCATCTTTTGGTTTGTAGGGCATTGGAACTGTAAGTGGGTCTAGTCCACTTTCTACAAGGCTTGGCATGGTCCCACTGAAGGCATTCAGTTGTAAAGGGGACTGTCCCTAAATCCAGGGCACCCCGATCTGAGAGCTTTGGCTCTGAGTAAGAAAGCTTGTAATGGCTGTACTAGTTAATGAAGTGACTGCAAAACAACTCTGTTTCAGCCAGTAAAAAGAGGAATTGCCCTTTCTCTTTTTTTAAATGTCTGTTTTTAAACAATATTTCAAATGCATACAAAAGTGATGGGAATAGTACAGTGAATTCCGTGCATGCACTATCCAGCTTCAACAATTACCAACTCCTGGGCAGTCTTCTTTCTTTTTTAAAAAAAATTTTTAATTTTTGGGAGTACATAGTAGGTATATATATTTATGGAGTATGTGAGATTTTTCTTTTCTTTTCTTTTTGAGATGGACTCTCCCTCTGTTGCCCAGGCTGGAGTGCACTGGCATAATGTCAGCTGACTGCAACCTCTGCCTCTGGGTTCCAGAAATTCTCCTGCCTCAGCCCCTCAAGTAGCTGGGACTATAGGCATGCGCCACCATGCCTGGCTAATTTAATAGAGACAGGGTTTCACCATGTTGGCCAGGCTGGTCTCCCAACTCCTGACCTCAGGTGATGCACCCACCTTGGTCTCCCAGAGTACTGGGATTACAGGCCTGAGCCTCCATGCCCGACCTGAGATGTTTTGATACAAGCATGCTGTGTGAAATAAGCACATCATGGAAAATGAAGTATCCATCCCCTCAAGCATCTATCCTTTGTATTACAAACAATTCAATTATCCTCTCTTAGTTAAGTATCTTTTCTAATGCCTTTAATTAAAAAACTGTAGTTTGAAGTAATTTAAAACTTAGAGAAAAGAGTAAGAATAACACAGAGAACTCCCTTTATCCCAGATTAACCAATTTTCAATGTTATTTTTGTCATATTTGGGGTTTGGGGAGATTTTGTTTGTTTGTTTTTTTAAGAGTCAGAGTCTCGCTGTCTTGCCCAGGCTGATCTCAAACTTCTGGCCTCACGTGATCCTCCTGCCTCAGCCTCCTGAGTAGCTGGGATTACAGGTGAGAGCCATCACACCCAGCTTTTTTTTTTTTTTTTTTTAACCATATTTGCATTGTCCTTCATCCTCTCTTTTTCCCTCTTCCTCCCCCATCCTCTTGCCTCTCCCACCACAATTCTTTTTTCTTTAAAGATGGGGTTTCACCATGTTGACCAGGCTGGTCTTGAACTCTTGACCTCAGGTGATCCACCCACCTCGGCCTCCCAAAGTGCTAGGATTATAGACGTGAGCCACCGTGCCCAGCCCACAAGTCTTTTTTTTTTTTTTTTTTTTCCCCCACAAGTCCTATTTCTAAACCATTTAAGAATAAATTGCAGATTTCACCCCTTAATATTTGTATGATTTCCCAAGAACAAGGATATTCTCTTATATAACCACAGACAATACAGTTATCAAACTCAGGAAATTTAATACTGATACTTTATATACAGCTTATTTTGTTAGTTGTCCTAATAATGGCCTTTATAGCAAATTTGTTCCTGTATGATCACACATCTCATAGTTGTCCTAAGGCCTTTGAATTAATTTAGCGTGGGAGTCTTTCAATGATTGCCTTTTATGTTGTTTGTTTGTTTGTTTATTTATTTATTTATTTATTTATTTATTTTTTTGAGATGGAGTTTTGCTCTTGTTACCCAGGCTGGAGTGCAATGGCGCGATCTCGGCTCACCGCAACCTCCGCCTCCTGGGTTCAGGCAATTCTCCTGCCTCAGCCTCCTGAGTAGCTGGGATTACAGGCACGCGCCACCATGCCCAGCTAATGTTTTTTGTATTTTTGGTAGAGACGGGGTTTCACCATATTGACCAGGATGGTCTCGATCTCTTGACCTCGTGATCCACCCGCCTCAGCCTCCCAAAGTGCTGGGATTACAGGCTTGAGCCACCGCGCCCGGCTATTTATTTATTTCTAAAAAGAGACGGGGTTTCACCATGTTGGCCAGGCTGGTCTTGAACTTCTGACCTCATGATCCACCCGCCTCGGCCTCTCAAAGTGCTGGAATTACAGGTGTGTGCCACCGCTCCTGGCTTATGTTGTTTAAATGATTAGCATCCTATTAATTTTGGTCCACATAAATTTGTACACACACCTCCACCCCCACCACCCCAGTTTTCTTAAAGGCAAATTGGGCACATCAAGTTCAGGAGGTGTCCAACGTGATTAGCTCCAGGAACTAAGTGACATATGGGAAAGGTATCCTGCAGCTAATGGGCAGGTGCCAGGTAGAGGAAGGAGGATTGAAATGGAGTAAGCAGAGCATACCCTGGCGTTTGACTAATTTATGTTGGAGAAAAGGTCATGGGCACACCGAAAATAGCAAAGAGAGATTTCCTAGGCAGAAGGAGAGAGATTAGATTTGCATTTAAATAATGCTGTTTTTAGGCCAGGAGCTGTGGCTCATGCCTGTAATCCCAGCACTTTGGCAGGCCAAGATGGGCGGATCACCTGCGGTCAGAAGTTTGAGACCAGCCTGGCCAACATGATGAAACCCCATCTCTACTAAAAATAAAAAAAAATTAGCTGGTGGCGGGCACCTGTACTCCCAGCTACTCGGGAGGCTGAGGCAGGAGAATCGCCTGAACCCAGTAGGTGGAGGCTATGGTGAGCTGAGATCACGCCATTGCACTCCAGTCTGGGCAACAAGAGTGAAACTCCATCTGGGGGGAAAAAACGTACAAAAATTAGCCTGAGGTGGTGGCCCGCACCTGTATTCCCACTTAACTCGGGAGGCTGAAGCAGGAGAATCCTTTGAACCCAGGAGGTGGAGGTTGCAGTGAGCCGAGATCCCACCACTGCACTCCAGCCTGGGTGACAGAGTGAGACTCTGTCTCAAAAAATAAGTAAGTAAATAAATAAATAAATAAAAGCAGTTTTTAGCAAGCATGTAACCTTCAACCTCTCCTTGGTGTTTTCCTGGCAAACTCACACACATGTCTGACTGCCGTTTGGTCCTTGTTCCAGGTGTGCTGGAGGAAGCGGAGTTTTACAACATCGCGTCCCTTGTGCGGCTGGTTAAGGAAAGGATACGGGACAATGAGAACAGAACTTCACAAGTAATGTGTTTGGAACTGTTAAGGGGGGGATGTCTCAAGGGGCCCTCTGTCAGTTGTCTGTGATTTGAAAAGGATGCCTTTCCCCTTAGAGCTGGAGGTCTGTGTGGAGCACTGTCTGTTCGCAATGCAGGGAATGCACACTCAGCCAAACTGCACAGGAGAAAACAGGAAAGAAGAAACAACAAAGAAAACAGAATAGGCCTATGTTCCAGTAGAATGAGAAGATTGTGGCTGCTCACCAGATGGCAGGAGGCGGCGCCCAGGGCACTTAAGGTCCACAACCTATTCTCTCTGACCGAGCATGTCTCCCTCCTAAAGACTGTCGAGGTCTTGGTTCCACCTGTTGGCCACTCTCTATGGAGACAAGCCTTGAGCACGTAATCAAGTCACATCCAGCTCCTACTTTGCAGGCTCAAGTGATTCTTCCACCACAGCCTCCTGAGTAGTTGGGACTACAGGTGCAAGCCACTATGCCTGGCTAATTTTTTGTATTTTTGGTAGAGAGGTTTCGCTTTGTTGATCAAGCTGATCTCAAACTCCTGGGCTCAAGTAGTCCACCCACCTTGTCCTCCCAAAGTAATGGGATTACAGGTATGAGCTGCGCCTGGCCTTGATTTTTATATTAACTCACATATAGTAACAAGAGTGAAAGGGAATTTGCCCATCTAGTTAGAGGAAAGGTGTTAGGGCATACCTATTTTACATCTTGCCATTTATCATGTGTTTGAATGGCCATAATAGCTTCTATTAGGTGCTTGGGATTCTGTAAGTAATTGAAAGTCCTTGCTCTCAAGAAGCTTGAAGTCTAGCCAGAAAAATAGACCCTCTCTTTCATGCGTTTAAACTCTGTTTTAAGAAACTGCAACTTTGGAATTAAGAGGTCTTGGGAAAATTAGAAAAAAAAGAAAAAGAAAAACTGCAGGTACAGACTTAACAGTAAGAGAGGGCAGAGTCTTCCTCCACCATGACTACCTATCTTGTAGCATAATTGCATCTTATCCTATCAGATACTGGTGGTAGATGCTTTAGGTGTAATCTATTGCAGCACAGAATTTTCCTGCCATTAAGAAGGCAGTACGTCTCTTTAATTTTTTTCTTTTCTTTTTTTTTTTTGAGACAAAGTCTCGGTCTGTCACCCAGGCTGGAGTGCACAGAGATGGAGTTTCACTGTATTGGCCAGGCTGGTCTTAAACTCCTGGAACTCAAGTGATCCACCCACCTGGGCCTCCCAAAGTGCTGGGATTACAGGCGTGAGCAACCATGCTGGCATAAGTTTCTTTTAAAAGTAAAAAATAATGCCTGTCCTTTTTGTGTTAGACTTCATGTTTCAAAGTTTTCTGGCTCTAAGCCAGGTGCGGTGGCTTACGCCTGTAATCCCAGCACTCTGAGAGGCTGAGGTGAGTGGATCACTTGATGTCAGAAGTTCAAGACCAGCCAGCCAACATGGTGAAACCCCATCTCTACCAAAAATTGGCCGGATGTGGTAGCGGACGCATGTAATTCCAGCTACTCTGGAGGCTAAAGCAGGAGGACCTCTTGAAACAAGATAGCGGAGGTTGCAATGAACTGAGATGGCACCACTGTACTCCAGCCTGGGCAACAGAGCGAGACTCCATCTCAAAAAAAAAAAAAAAAAAGTTTTCTGCCTCTAAATGGAATATCTGGATGAGTAACTGACACTAATGATGAAAAATTAACTCTCTTACCCACTGTCTCCAGCAGTCTGCAAAGGTGAAGAGAAGGGCTTATTCAGTTAGTTTTCTTCCATCCGGCTTATAGCCGAAAGGCTCCTTTTTGATGTTCAAAGGTGGCTTTGTAGTTGGTTTGCAGATTATTACTTGAAATGTGATCCACCGTCACCAGTCTCTTTGGCATCTTACATTTATATGGTATCTTTTACTATTGTAGATATTTAATAGTTGAGACATTTTGGTAGTACAGTTTTATCTTCAATTTTCCACATTCTAAAAAATGACTGCTTACTGTAAATTTTGATGATACCATGAATTTTGTAATTTGAAATGATTCAACTCGTGGTACCTGAACATTCTCCCCTCTTCATCATCAGCTGATTCCTAGAGAGCATTGTAAGATTTCTATTTGATGACCACAATTAAATTAATTCGTCTTGTAGATTCTGAAGCCTTGTGGATTCATACCCCTTTGGAAGCTTTTTTGTTCTAGGAATGTCAAGACCTTTTTGATCTTAGCCGATCTTTCCATCTGTCCTTTTTATGTAGTGAAACTGAAAATGAATGTGATGTTGTTCAGAGACACCCTCTTTGGAACTTGTCGTACATGGCTGTAAGATGAAGTTGGCCGTGTGTGGATTTTCAAACACGTTATCTCTTTGAACTTACTTGTAGCCCTTCACACATGCAGCATTCAAGCCAAGCCCAAGATGTGGACCTCGACCCCACCTTTGTTCTTAGCTCTTAGTGGCTGCCACCTAACTACTTTCCTATTTCTTTTTCCTTTTTTTTTTTTTTTTTTTTTTTTTTGAGATGGAGTCTCACCGTGTTGCCCAGGCTGGAATGCAGTGGTGCAATTTCAGCTCACTGCAGCCTCTGCCTCCTGGGTTCAAGCAATTCTCCTGCCTCAGCCTCTTGAGTAGCTGGGATTATAGGCGTGCACCACCATGCCCAGCTAATTTTTGTATTTTTACTAGGGACAGGATTTCCCTGTGTTGGCCAGGCTGGTCTCAAACTCCTGACCTCAGGTGATCCACCCGCCTCAGCCTCCCAAAGTGCTGGGATTACAGGCGTGAGCCACTGTGCCCAGCCCAATTGTTTTATAGTACAAAATTAGAGTATCACAAAAGTTCTGGGACGTTGGCCACAGTTGTCAAAGTCCCAGTTATTTAAGATGCCATTATATTGCCTCTTTTTTTCTCTCTTCCAAAGTAAACCACTGGTGCTCTCAAATGCACCAAGAGCAATCACCTGCAAAAAATACTATCATAAGAAATAGAAGGCTGGATATGGTGGTTCATGCCTGTAATTCCAACACTTCGGGAGGCTGAGGCAGGCAGATCACCTGAGGTCAAGAGTTCGAGACCAGCTTGACTAATGTGGTCAAAGCCCGTCTCTACCAAAAATACAAAAATTAGCCAGGCGTGGTGGTGGGCGCCTGTAATCCCAGCTACTCGGGAGGCTGAGGCAGGAGAATCTCTTGAACCCAGGAGGCAGAGGTTGCAGTAAGCCGAGATCGCACCATTGCACTCCAGCCTGGGTGACAAAGCAAGACTCCATCTCGAAAACTGATAATAATAATACTAATTTTACCTTATTTTTGACTTGGGGAAATGGATTAAATCTAAGTTCATCAACATAGTTGCTCAATCATTCATCCCTCTGAAGTTCAGAATTATTTTACCTTTTTTTTCTTTCTTTCCTTGGATAAATTTTTATTGAAAAGCCACAGTATCCTGGCTTGTGGTCATCTAAAAAGAAAAACATTTTTTAAAGGGGGAGGGGGGAATAGAAACGCTACAGTACTATTTGTAAAAGGGGATAGTGGGTGGCTGCCAAGAAAAGATTTCCAAGCAAACTCCTTTCAATTCAATGTTGATTCATTTGAAGAGCCTCCTCAGGGCACCTGCAAACTGTGGTGCCCTTGATGTTCTCAGTCTGTGCCTGGTCGTTGCAGGGCCCTGTGAAACATGTGTACAGAGTCCTGCAGTGTCAAGAAGAAGAGCTCACACAGATGGTCTCCACGATGTCCGACGGGTGGAAATTCGAACAGGTACATCTCTTACAGAGCAGCCACCCCAGACCCCAGGGGGTCTGCAGCTCTTTGAACAATCGCTGTAGACGGCCAGTTAATAACCCTGGGAGATGGGTAGGGCCAGGTGGGATTCTTTTCCAAAACATGGACAAAGAGCCATTCAGTGGGCACTGCTGGTCAGTGTTACGTGAGGAGTTGGGGGAACAGAATTCAGTGGGCACTGCTGCTCCGTGGCACATGAGGAGCAAGGAACAGAGATTCGGTGGGCACTGCTGCTCCATGGCACACGAGGATTTGGGGGAACAGAGGAGCTTCATGTCTTAGCTTCACACTCAGACATTGCAGTGGGGGTCAGCGAGCACTTGAGGCTTCAAAGTGCCTCCCTTTGGTTTGTGTTTCCCCACAGGGATTCTAGAATAAGTCCCTAAAGGAGACTGGGATTCGACAACAAGCCTTCCATTTCTTTTCCCAGAATCAGGGCTTTTTGGTTCTGAATGTCTGTGTAATCCACCACGAAGAGCTTGGTGAACAGCTGTGTTAGGAAGGGATCAGGCACCGTGGGAAATGTGGTGAGGCCGTTTCCCCCACTTCGCGTTTACGATTAAGCTATCAAAACAAAGCTGACAGTAGGAGCTTCACTGTTTTCCTCCATTAGATGGCAGACTTGTTCAGTTGTCTTGTTGCCTTCAAAACACGGGAAGGCCAGACCAAATAGAGTAAATATGATTTTATATGGATTATGCCTACTTACGTGTAGAGTTTTAAGAGGTCAACAGCTGTCTCACCAGATGCTTACCTTCTAAAAGAAAATGCACACTTTGCATTAATGGTATGATCTTACGGATCAAGTGCAAAGCTGTCTCTGTCTTCACAGCCAGTGCTGATTATTCCTCACGCTTAGCTTCCACCACGGAATCCACTCTGCCTGTGCTGTCAGCCTGGTTCTTACTGGGCGTGGGTTGTAAAACGTTGCCAAGAGTTTAATGCCCTCCACTGCAGAAGTATTTTTCCTGATACGAGGTCTTAAGCAAATGATTTTTTAAAAATTATTCTTTGTGCAACTAATGAATAATTTCTTGTTACATCTCTCATCTTATTACTGTCCTGTGGGAGGACTGAGAGTGTTCTCATTGCCTCCCTTCTGGATGAGGAAGTTAGTTTCAGCCAGGCGGAAGCGCCCTGAGCCCCATCCTACCGCAGTCAGCCATGCCGCCCACATGACGCCTCACCTGCTCACTGGGATGCCCTTACTCTCTGCCTGAGCTGCTCCCCTGCATGTATATTTCCTCTTTAGAATTAAATACTGAATTTCATTCTCCAAAAAGGTTAAAAGTACTACGCGGTGGCTCACACCTGTAATCTCAGCACTTTGGGAGGCCATGGTGGGAGGATCGCTTGAGTCCTGGAGTTCAGAGGCCCGCCTGGGCAACATAGTGAGACCCCACCCCTTCTTTATGAAAAATAAAAGAATTAGCCAGGCATGGTGGCACACACCTGTAGTCCCCAGCTACTCAGGAGGCTGAGGTGGAAGGTTCACTTGAGCCCAGGAGGTGGAGGCTGCAGTGAGCTGTGATTGCACCATTGCACTCCAGCTTGGGTGACAGAGCAAGACCCTGTCTGGAAAAAAAAAAAAGTACCAGCACCATGTGACTTCCAGTAGCTGATCAGTGATTCACTTGGTGCTTTCCAGAGCCTTCTGAGTACCAGTCTCCTGTCTACGGCTTCTGCTGAAAGAGGAGCCAGCTCTGTGTGTGACTGAAGCACGTGTCCATTTTGTTCACAGATGCGTTGTCTCTCCCCTTGGTGTGATGAAGGGAGCGTGGGTGTGTTAATCCGGCCACTGCCTGTGGGGGGGACTTCAGAGCTTGGGTGAAGGGACGGTGCTGGAGCTCATACTTTTCCCCTGGGGAAGCCTCACTGAGGATGCCCTGATGAAGAACAGGCCCATTGACACCCTGGGGCTTTGGTGGTCCCAGAGAATTCTTTATCCTTTGAGAAGTAAAACAAAAGTTCGGTCGGAGGAGAGGCGATTTGTGTAGCACTTTACTGTGTTAAGATCGCTGTGTGCATGTTCACTGTATTCTTGGCTCATCAGCTCATCAGCATCGGATCTTCCTATAACTATGGCAATGAGGATCAGGCAGAATTCCTCTGTGTTGTCTCCAGAGAACTAAATAACTCTACCAATGGCATCGTCATAGAGCCTAGCGAAAAGGCGAAGGTAAGGAACCCCTCCCCAGGCAGCTGCCTCTGGCCCGCTTGTTCGCAGCCCCTCCGTGGCATTTTCCTGAGCTCTTGCTCCTCACTTCTTCCCTGGCCTTCTAGAGCCAGCGTGGTGTTTTCCCCTCGTTTTGTTGTTTTTGACTGTGTAATTGAAATTGGGATTTACGGAGCACTGACGGGTTTTTAGTTAGGAAACAGGAACCTAAAAAGGATAGGCTTTCTCCATCCCCTGCCAAATCAATGAAAAGAAAAGCTGCTTACCGCTAATTACTACAGCGTCGGAATTCTGAACTCAGACTTGGAAAGTATTCTGCCTTTATTCTTTAAAACTTGTTTTTTCACTGCCTCAGGAGAAAAAGGGTGTTTTCTTACCTTTGTGACCTTTACCTTCCTTAAGTTCCTGGGAAATTGTTTGACACTGTTTCTTTTCCCTCCGCCATGCACCCCTCCCAGCCCCCCCACACACACATCCACACGCGCGCGCGCACATGCGCGCAGCTTCTAAATGGCAGATACCAGGTAAACTGGAATCACTCCCTTTAGGCTGGCAAAGCTTTGGTCCCACAGCACATAAGCTTCAGACCCAGCTGTGTCCAGCAAGAGAGTGTTTCGCACCAAAGCACTGTGGGTGAGGCTGAGACTGCACCCCTGCTTGCTTCCTGGGATGACAGGACTGTCATGCCGCTCACAAGGTCCAGTGGAAAGCAGCCCCCGACATCTCTCTCTTTTCCCTCAGCTGCCTCAGCCTCTCCCCCGTCTCCAACTTTCAGATTCTGCAGGAGAGAGGATCACGGATGTAAACTAAGACCCCGAAACTCCAGACCTTCAGGAGAGCAGTCAGCAGAGCCCCTCTGTGAAGTGAAACCTCGCTCCTGTCCAGTGACCGAGCCACTGCAAAGCACAGCTGAGCCTGGCCCCCTGTGAAGAAGTGTTCTGGTCAAAACTAAAGGAACTCCCTCCCACCCGCAGGACTCCGAAGACAGATGCGACTTCTGGCTGCAGAATACCTTTTCAGAAACCTGTTTTCATTTTCTTAGCCAGTATTATAACAGATCTTTACAACAGCAGCTGGGCTGGGTTCCCAGTCAGAGCCTTTTGGGAATCTGGAGGGATGAGGGAAACGGCCTGTACTTATAGGAAGGTGGAGCAAAGGAAAGAGGATTGTTCCTGCCCCGTGCCATGGTTTCACCCTATGTGTGCCACATTGGACGTTAGCAGCTGCTTTGGAACACCGCCCCTCCTGTGCACCCTCAAAGACCTGCAGCAGATGCAAAGGGTTCTAGCTGCAATTTGTCGAATTGAGGTTTTAGGTAAAGCATAGAGATGCCATAGCACACCACATTCCCATGAATGGAGCCTCCAAGGAAAGGGAGGATGGGGTGTCTTTTATTGTGTTGATCGTTTCTCTGGATTTGGGGCTCTCAGCTGCCACCACGTGCAGCTTTGCCTCAGTTTTCTCCAGCAGCCGGGACCCTCCGGAGAGCTTGCTTTCCCTCCAGTAGGAGGTTTGAGACAGGCAGCATCCTGCCCTGAGTCAGCCAGCCAAGTGGGAGCTGTAGGGAGCTGGCGGAACTGCGCCTGCAGCCTCCTCCTGCCCCCATTGACCCTGTTACCTTCCCTGGCTTTTTCAACTGGACCAAAGATGAAGGGACTTAACGGACCTTTTGATGGCTTGGGGTGGGGAAGGCTGTTTCTTTGAAAGTTGCCAAATGTGTTACGTTGTTGTATCTCAAAGAGTTTTTATTTCTGTGGCTGTCTCGGAAATGCCTTGACTGAATGTGCAATATTTGTGTCTCTTCTTGGTTTCTGACCTTGACAAACCTGCTCCCCTCTGTGCTGTCCCCAGTGGTGCGTATATGTGTGCTAGACAGCCTGAGGACCCCCTGTGTCTCTGACCTTCCCTCACCATTACCCCCTTTTCTGGAGTGCCATGCTGGCGAGGATCCAGGGCGGCAGCGCTGTCCTCCGGGCTGTGTCTGCAGAGCTTGTGTCCACACTTTTCTCTCCGAGCGTTCGGGTCTCGCTGAGCAGTCATGGAATGCAGTGAAGCCAGGGGACCCTGTCTGACCCCGATAACTTTCAGTAGCATAGCAGATGGCATGGAGAAGGGGAAGGGGCTCTGGGGACTGCTCTTGTGAAAGCCGCCTCGAGCCAGGCTCTCCTGTCCACCTTCAGAGGCTATGTCCTCTGCTCCACAGCACAACTGCTTGCCAGGTGCGTCTGGGTAGTAATTTCTGGAAATGACTGTAGACTATGCCAGATGTCTTTAGCTTCTGATCTAACGATGCCCAGATGGCTTAACTTTTCCCTAGGACCCTCGCTCTCCGTGTTTCTCTGTATCTGTAGCATAGCACAGAACCCGGTATACAGGGGTTTCTGCTGACGCATCAGTGTCTACACACCTGTGCGCCACATTTTACAGCTGTAAAATGTTAGATGAACTGCCACCCTCTGTAAAAGCAGCCACCCCTTCAAAAGAGTCACAGGCATCCATCCAGTCATATTTTCCAGGAAAAAAAAAAAAGATTTAGCGATTTAGATGTAGCCAAGGAAAGTAGCAATTGCGGGAAGAGCCGAGGAGGTGGGAGGACTTCGGAAGAGGTGCTCCTTGGCCAGGTCCAGTGAGTAACATCAGATTGACAGAAGGAAAGCAGCTTGCATTGGGGTCTTGTGCCTGTCTGCTTTCCTGGGACATGCCTGATCAGCACGGGCTGGGGCTCCTAGTCCCAACCCCAGCTTTCTCACCAGTTTCAGCAAGGAGACCTGGCAGGCAGACACCAATGTCAGCACCTCCTAAGGGCACAGTTTCCTTCGTTCCTCTTCTCAGATTCCGCATTTGCCCTGGTGAAAAGACTGCAGTTGAGCCCCAAGCCACGTGCTCCGGGCAATGGGAGTGTTATTTCCGCCCTCTGGGGGGCTGGTGTTCACCAAGTTTCCCTCCTCGCTGCAACCCAATGACAACTGTATTGTTCCAGTGCTCCAAGACTCTGAGGCCGATTGGTTTCTTCAGATTTCTGGGAGCGTTGTTCACCCACACCCTTTAGGAACCAGGCTGGTATTCTTGCCTGAAAGCCTTGTGCTCTCAGAGTGTCTGGCTAATCACGTCAGAGAGGTCTGCGTGGCAGTTTGGGGCTGTCACGTGACCGGTGACCCACACTCTGTGCTGCCCAGTATTGCCAAGTGGGGAGGGTCCTGCCTTTTTCTCTGCCCTCAGTCTGGGACGCAGGTGATGCCAGCTAGGTCCAGGAGCGCTTAGCATCCCTCAAGCAATGACACAGTAGCACTGATTCTGTCTTTTCCTCAGAATCTGGCCTTTTTCCATGACAATGAGGTGGGGCCCGGCCTCTAAAGTGGCTTCCTTTCTGCACAGTTGTAATGCTCTGGGGGTGTCAGCGAGGCCGGGGGCGGGGAGCCACAGGATGCTGAGGAGGAGGCCCAAGAGGACACCTGCACCCTCCAGTGTGGCCTTTGATCCGGACCTTCGGGACGAGGCTGTCACTGGTAGGTATCCTCTGTTCCTGTTTGTGTGTTTAAATAGTCTGAAATGCTGTGACTTTTTTTTTTTGTCAATACAGCTAGGAAATAAACTTGTGAATCTCAAGAACTCTGGTGTGTTTTCCATCACTGCAGGCTCTGGGTTCCCACCATCACTTCCTGTCGAGGGTTCTCAGGACCCTCAGGGGTCTCAGGAGATGACTTCACCTTTCCCACCAGGGCAGCTGACCAAGTCCTTTTCTCCTGCTACTGAAACTGCCGAAGAGGGTGTTGAGCCTTCTCTCTCCTCCCTTTCATTTTACTGAATCTGAAAAGACCCAGAGAGCGCAGAGAAACAGAAGGTGGGACAGATGGGCTGCCCACCAGAGAGCTGGAAAGAGACAAGGGGAGGAGTGTGACATGTGGTTTTTTGTTGGGTTTTTTTTTGAGATGGAGTTTTGCTCAGTCACCAAGGCTGGAGTGCAGTGGTACAGTCTTGGCTCACTGCAACCTCTGCCTCCTGGATTCAAGCAATTCTCCAGCCTCACCTCCTGAGTAGCTGGGATTAAAGGTACCTGCCAAAATGCCTGGCTAATTTTTGTATTTTTAGTAGACACAGGATTTTGCCATGTTGGCCAGGCTGGTCTTGAACTCCTGACCTCAGGTGATCCGTCTGCCTCAGCCTCCCAATGTGCTGGGATTGCAGGCGTGAGTCACCATGCCTGGCTGTGAGATGGTTTTTAAGGACAATTCTTTCTGAAAGAGAGTGAGTGACTAGGTACAAAGAAGACAAGGAAGAGGATGAGTGAGAAACATTTGGTGTCAAGTAATCAGCAAACAAGTATTGATCACTTTAGCACTAGGCGGGGCGTGGGATCCTTAGAAGGTGTTAGTCCCTTCCGGACAGCACTTTCAGGTGTGGAGACAAGATGGACTCACAGCTTAGTGAACGGTTATGTGGGTGCATCCGTCAGGGTCCAATTGGGAAACCACAGCAGTTGTTGCCTGGTAGTGGAGAAAGGAAAGGGCAGGGGTGGGCACTGAGGCATCACAAATGTAGGGATTGCGGGGTGCAGTCCTCACTCCTGGGACCTGTGAACAATAGGAGATTCAGGCCAGGTGCGGTGGCTCACGCCTGTAATCTCAGCACTTTGGGAGGCCGAGGCGGGCAGATCACGAGGTCAGGAGTTTGAGACAAGCCCGACCAACATTGTGAAACCCCTTCTCTACTAAAAATACAAAATTGCGCCACTGCACTCCAGCCTGGGCAACAGAGCAAGACTCGTCTCAAAAAAAAAAAAAAAAAAAAAAATGGAGATTCAGCCAGGCGTGGTTGCTCACACCTGTAGTGGCTCCCACCACTTTGGGAGGCCGAGGTGGGTGACTCACCTGAGGTCGGGTGTTTGAGACCAGCCTAACCAATATGGAGAAAACCTGTCTCTACTAAAAAATACAAAATTAGCCGGGCGTGGCGCCACGTGCCTATAATCCCAGCTATTCAGGAGACTGAGGCAGGAGAATCACTTGAACCCAGGAGGGGGCACCATTGCACTCCAGCCAGGGCAACAAGTAAAACAACGTCTCAAAAAAAAAAAAAAAAAAAAAAAATTCACCTGCACTTTGGGAGCCGACCTGGGAGGATTTCTTAAGCCCAGGAGTTTGCCATCAGGCTGGGCATCATGGTGAGAACCCTGTCTCTACATAAAATTAAATTTAAAATAAAATAAGGCCAAGCACAGCGGCTCACACCTGTAATCTCAGCACTTTGGGAGGCCGAGGCAGATCACTTGAGGTCAGACATTTAAGATCAGCCTTGCCAACATGGTGAAACCCTGTCTCTACTAAAAATACAAAAATCAGCCAGGCGTGGTGGTGCACGCCTGTAATCCCAGCTACTTGGGCAGCTAAGGCAGAAGAATTGCTTGAACCTGGGAGGTGGAAGTTGCAGTGGGCCAAGAGTGAACTACTGCACTCCAGCCTGGGCAACAGAGAGACTCTGTCTCAAAAAATATAAAATGGAGACTCAAGAGGAGGGGCCCAGTGGAGAAGGAGGTGTCGGCCAGCAGCAGCTGCTGCCTCTCAGAGGATAGAGAAACCACCAAGAAACCAGCACCACTCCTGGAATCAGCTATGCCAGCACGCGCCAGTGTTCTGTGGTCTGGCTGACAATAGGAAACACACTGTCCCTTCTTTTTTTCTCTTGCCTTGCAGTCTCCCTCAGCATGTCCTACCAGGATGAGGTAGGAGGGGGGAAATGCGGTTTGGGGCAGAGTTCAGAGGGTGGGATTGGGGCTGAGAGATGATGAAGGGCTAGCTGGCTCAGCCCGCCTTTGATTCCCCTCGTGTGTGCACACTTCTGCACACACTTGAGCTTGCATAGGATGGTGAAAAATGCCAAGTGCTGTGGCTCACACCTGAAATCTCGGCACTTTGGGAGGCCAAGGCGGGCAGATTACCTCAGGTTAGGAGTTTGAGACCAGCCTGGCCAACACGGTGAAACCCTGTCTCTACTAAAAATACAAAAAATTAGCCAGGCGTGGTGGTGGGCGCCTGTAATCCCGCTTTTCAAGGGGCTGAGGTAGGAGAATCGCTTTGAACCCAGGAGGCAGAAGTTGCAACGAGCCAAGATCGCGCCATTGCACTCCAGCCTGGGCAATAAGAGCAAAACTCTGTCTTGGAAAAAAAAAAAAAGGATGGTGAAAAACAAATTCATGCCTCCACGGATACAACAAGATACAACTACCCTTGTATAAGCAAAACAAATCCCCCTCTCCCTCCAAAATAGACACGAAGTGCCAAATCATGGTGTCCCTGTCTCAGAGACAGTATTTCTAGGCTATGTTAATTGCTCCTAATTGCCAGGCACAGTGGCTCAATCCCAGTACTTTGGGAGGCTGAGGTGGGAGGACTGCTTGAGGCCACGAGTTCAAGACCAGGCTGGGCTACATAGTGAGGCCCATCTATATACAATTTTTGTTTGTTTGTTTTTTTTGGGACGGAGTTTTGCTCTTGTTACCCAGGCTGGAGTGCAATGGCGCGATCTCGGCTCACCGCAACCTCCACCTCCTGGGTTCAGGCAATTCTCCTGCCTCAACCTCCTCAATAGCTGGGATTACAGGCACGCACCACCATGCCCAGCTAATTTTTGTAGTTTTAGTAGAGACGGGGTTTCACCATGTTGACCAGGATGGTCTCGATCTCTTGACCTCGTGATCCACCCGCCTCAGCCTCCCACAGTGCTGGGATTACAGGCTTGAGCCACCGCGCCCGGCTACAATTTTTTTTTTTAATTAGCCAGGCTAGCCAGGCGTAATGACACATGCCTGCAGTTCCAGCTACTCAGGAAGCTGAGGTGGGAGGATCACTTGAGCCCAGGATTTCAAAGCTGCAGTGAGCTATGCTCTCTAACCTGAGACACAGAGTAAGACCCTGTTTTTGTGTGTGTGTGTTTTGCTTTTGTTTTTGTTTGACAGAGTTTTGCTCTTGCCCAGGCTGGAATGCAATGGCACAATCTCAGATGCCTGCAACCTCCACCTCCCTAGTTCAAGCGATTGTCCTGCCTCAGCCTCCTGAGTAGCTGGAATTACAGGTATGTGCCACCATGCCCAGCTAATTTTTTTTTTTCACATGAAGGCAATTTATTAACAAAATATTTTGAGAAGTCTTGTTCACAGATGACTACCATGGCGATCCCCCTGCCTGTGGGTGCTGTCAGAGGGGATGGGGGTGATGTCCTCAATCCGCCTGATATTACACCCGAACAGGCAAGGGCTGTAAGAGTCAGCTGGGCCCCAGGTCCAGGGGTCTTGGTCCTATTTCCTCCTGTGGCCCAGAGTTTGATGTGTAGGGCAGTGATACCCAGCTCCTTGCACCTCTGGGCCACATCCTGGGCCGCCAACATAGCAGCATATGGCGAGGATTCATCCCGGTCTGCCTTCACCTTCATCCCACCAGTCACACGGCAGATGATTTCTTTGCCAGAAAGATCAGTGTCATTGAAGGATGCAAAGATATGGCAGACACCAAACACGTTCTCTC